ATTTTGGTCATGTTGTAAGAAGGGACCATTCCCTGGAGAAGGATGTCATGCTTGGTAGGGTGGAGGGTCGACGAAGGAGGGGGAGGCCTTCAACGAGATGGATTGATATGGTGGCTGCGATGATGGGATCAAGTATAGCAGGGATTGTGGGGCTGGCGTGGTATCGGGCAGTGTTTCGTTCTACTGTGCATGGGGTCGCTATGAGTCGGAAACGACTCGACAGCACTTAACAACAACAACAAGTGGTGTAGTGCCTAAGGGATTTGACTGCTAACCAGAAGCTGGTGGCTCAAACCCAGTCCTCAGAAAGAAGGCTGGACAGTCTACTTTCATAGTGATACCGCTTCGGAAACCCAAGGAGGGGTCACTATGAGTTGGATCCGACTCGACGGCAGTGAGTTTGTTTTTTTTTTTTTGTTTGTTTGTTTAGAGACATTGTGTTGAGCTGTGGACTGAAACACGAGGGAACACAAGATCAACAGTGCACCGCTGCCCCTCAGATCCAGACCTGGGGCATTGGTGAGCATGCCATAGAGCAAAATCACTAATGGTGTCTTCCCTGGATTCTTAGCCTCCATTGTTTTCCATGAGAGTCCCTGTATGGTGCAGATGGTTAATGCACTTGTTTGCTAACTAAAGTGGAGGTTTGAGACCACTTCAAGGCATGTCAGAAGAAAAGGCCTAGCAATGTACTTCTGAAAACACAGGCATTGAAAACCCCATGGATCATAGTTCTAATCTGCACCATGAGTCAAAGTCTATGAGTCATGATCTGTGGTTTTCTATTGAACAGCTTTACAGTGACCAGATAGCTTTCCAAATCAAGAATTCAAGTGGCCCTATGATAGAAAGGATGCTAGATTGCTTACCTCCCTACTCTGGTTCAAGACATCCCACTACAGTCCAGGTGACCTCCACTAATAGACTGCAATGGCAAAGAGCTACAGTCAGTTGATAGTGACAATTTTTTTTCTGTTGTGTCACCTAAATCTCCCCACCTCTCTTTTAAATCTACTCTTCTCCAGTCACTCCCTGCCTGCCCTCTGGACACTAAAGCCCCAAGCTTGCCCTTTTGCATGTTTTCACACTAAATTCTGAATGCATTAGATTTTTTTTTTTCCAAATGCCGCCTTTTTTCATAATTATTTTTGGACCAAACATGCTTAACTCTTAACATATCTTCAAGTCTTTACTGAAATATGTCCTTTTACGCTATCCTGTTTTTGGACACACAGTAATGATTTCACTTAAATTCTTTTCCAAAGAAATAAAAAGATCCAGGTTGAAACCTTGGGACATTAAATATGAAGAACACTCATCTATTTCTTCATCTAGCATGACATAATGCAGTGGTTCTCACAGTGGGTCTCGAACCAGCAGTATCAGCATCACCTGGGAATGTCTTAGAAATGCAAATTATCAGGCCCCATCCCAGACCTATAACATCAGGAACTCTAGGGTTAGGAGCTCTGGTGGCTTCGTGCCTAAGGCATTTGACTGCTACCCAGAAGGTTGGCAGTTCAAGCTTACCAGCCACTCCTCAGAAGGAAGGTTGGGCAATCTACTTCCATAGTGATAAAGCCTCAGAAACCCAAAGAGGGGTCACTATGAGTCAGATCCTGGATCCCAACCCTAGAATTTCTGATGATGTCAGAAACTCTAGGGTTGGGATCCAGCATTTTGTGTTTTACCAGGCATTCCTGGTGGTATGGCAGTGGTGGTTCAGTGGTAGAATTCTTGCCTCCCATGCAGGAGACCCTGGTTCAATATTGGCCAGTGTTTCTCATGCACAGCCACTACCCATCTGTCAGTGAAAGCTTGTGTGTTGCTATGATGCTGAACAGGTTTCATTGAGCTTCCAGACTAGAAAGACCTGGCAATCTACTTCTGAAAATCAGCCAGTGAAAATCCTGTGAATCATAGATGTCCAATCCTATTGTGTATGGGATAGCCAGGAGTTGAGAGCCAACTTGAAGGCAGCTAACAACAACTTGGTGGTGCTGCTACCTGCTCAAGTTGGAGAATCACTGCCCTAATGAAGCAAAGGACTCCAGTCGGGGATGAACTGTGGGGTTGGGTGTTCACTTCCAAGCTCCTAGCCTCATCAGAAAATGGGAGCAGGGTATAAGGAGAGGAACACGTATCTAATGACATTACAGGCATCCTGGCCAAAAGTTAGATCGCCTTGTTCTGGATTATCTTACAATTCTGATTATTGGCTATAGCATCCTCTACAATCTGAAGCACAAATACCTAATCAGTGGGGGGAGGGGGAAAACAGCTCCTATTCTAGAAGTATCTGGATTAAAAAAAAATGGGGAGGTGAGATTTAAGTAATTTGTCTTATAATTAATTAAAAGCCCAGTGTTTACTTTAACATAAATGTAGATGTAATTTTGCAGAATGAAAAATTTCTGTGTATTTTTTAGAAAAGAAAAAACAAAAGTATTCAAAACCTTCTGCAACCTTTGGTGACCCCAAGTCGCCTAATTTGGACTGTGCCTCCCAGACTCACCAAGAGTAGGGGCTGCCTCTCTGTTCTCAGAGATGCCTTGTGCGTGAATGGAGTTCTTGGATTTGATCTCTCACTGAGAAATAGGATGTGGGCTCCAACCCAACCTTGCCTATGAAGGCTTTGGGCTCTCCCACCTGACAGGAGAAGTCAGTGTGGATCCTGCCATAAGTTCTGAGGCTGCTGGCTATTCCAATCAAGAGACAGGTGACCTGTGCAGCCCCAAAGGGCATATTAATCATATGAAATTGTGGCTACACTGCGTGATGGTGTAGAAGCCAGGCCTCACTGCCTGACCCTGAGGTCCTCAATCCCTATAGCTCTGCTAACCAGGCCAAGGATCAGGCACAGTGTGATTTCCATGGGCCCTCCTGAGCCCCAAATATTTAAAATCATATTTTATGGCCACATTGGTATAAAGGCCAATTTAGTCCAGATAGGATTATATTCATTTTTATCTTCTGATTTATAAAGAAATTAGAAAATTTCCATGGTCGCCAGTGTTGTGCCTGCTCTAAAAAGGCCCCTGAATCAGAAGCACAGAGTAACCTACCCTCTGGCCTTCTTGTTGTTTAGAAAATTGGCTGTGATGGCATCATCGGATCGGCTGCCAAAGAAGACCGGTGTGGGGTTTGCAATGGGGATGGAAAAACCTGCCGAGTGGTAAAGGGGGATTTCAACCACACCCACGGCTCAGGTGAGTACAGGCCAAAGGGGCTCAGCTGGACAGCCAGCACCAAGTGTGTCCCTTCAAGTTCTTTGGCCAGCATTCAGTGCTTGTGCTTCATGTATTTCTTTTTTTTTTTTTTTTTTAATTTTTATTGTGATTTGGGTGAAAGTTTACAGAGCAAATTCATTTCGCATACAGCAACTCACATGTACTTTGTCTCATGACATTAACTGCAAATTCCCACAATACAACAGGTCCCCTCCCACTTCCTTCTCATAGTTACCTCTTCCCTCTGTCCTTTGTTCCTATGCACTCCTGCCCCCTAAGCTGTCTCCCTGTGCATGCACAGCCCTTCTATTCTCCCATGATTGATCTCTCCAAGGAGTGTATCTACCTAATGTAAATGTTCAGCTCATGTGCCTGTCTTTTGTTTGGGTGGAAGTCACAGGAGTGGGTTCAATTCCAGACCTGAAAAGCAGATAGGGGCTATAGTCTCAGGGGTTCCATCAGCCATTATCAGACCAGCAAACTTGGTCTCTTTTATTTTTTTATGACTTACAGTTTTGTTCCACATTGTTCTCCCAGTCTATCCAGGATCTCCTACATAGATCCCCCACTGAGTGGTTGACAGTGGTAGAAAGCACCACCTACTTTTTCTGGTCTCATAGTCGGATAGGCTGAAGATTGCAAGATGTACCAGTTGATTGGACTAATTGTTTCCATGCATCTTTAGTTTTCTTCATTCTTCTTTGCTCTGGACAAGGAGAGACCCATCATTTGATCTAGATGGCTACTTGCAAGCTTTTAAGACCCCAGTCACTACTTGTCAAAATAGGATGAGGAATGATATTTTTGTGTAATATGTTATGCCAGTTGAGCCTGATGTCCCCTGTGACCAGGGTACCAAGCCCACAGGTCCAACTGCTTGCTCCCTTTGGGTAGCTGGGTGTGGCCAAGAAGTGACTACAACCTTGATCCTTGTCAGCTCTACTATATACCTGGAATTCTTACAGAACATACAAATACACTTGTAGAAACATTGTCTACCAAGCCTATACATGGTCAGGGGCACACTTTTCCCTGCATAGACATACTTAATAGTTCAGCCTGTCTACCTGTGTATCTACCTATAGATCACGTTTGCTATCACTGACAATGCAGTACCACATGTGCAAAAGGCTTCATCTTTGTTGTCTGTACTCCTATGCACCTCTCTGTGTCTTCCTCTTCCTCAATGCCACCATGTTGATCACTCACATTTGGTACATTGCCCTCCTCTTCACCCAAATCAGTACTTGTCTCTACCTATCTAGAAGGGCTCCCTCTCTTCCCCTCCTACTCCTGGTAGTCAAGAAAATTTCCTTCCATATAAAAACCTTTCTTGACTTTTTACAATAATGGACTAATACAATATTTGTCCTTCTGTGATTGACTTATTTCACTCAGCAAAATGTCCTTCAAGTACATCCAGGTTATGAGGTGTTTTGCAGATTCTACGTTATCCTTTAGGGTTGCATAGTCTTCCATTGTGTGGATTTACCATTCTTCTCTTGATGGGCACCTAGGTTCTTTCCATCTTTTTGCTACTGTAAATAGTGCTGCGATGAACATGGTGTGCATATCTCACTTCTTGTCCTGGATCTCATTTCTTTTGGATACATACCTAATAATGGAATTGCTGAGCCAAATGGTATTTCTAATTCCAGCTTTTTAAGGAATCACCATCCTGCTTTCCACAGTGGTTGTATCATTTTACAGTCTCACCAGCAGTGTATGAGAGCCCCAATCTCTCCACATCTTCACCAGCATTTGTTATTTTCTGTCTTGTTGAACTTTGCTACTAGTGCTGGGACAGGATGATATCTCATTGTTGTTTTGATCTGCATCTCTCTAATGGCTAACGATTGTGAGCATTTCTTCATGTATTTCCTGGCTGCCTCAATATCCTCTTTGGTGAAGTATCTATTCATGTCTTCTGCCCATTTTTAATTGGATTATTTGTCTTTTTGTTGTTGAGGTGTTGGAGTTTTCTATAAATATTAGAGATAAATTTCTTGTGAGATATATGGTTGCCAAATATTTTTCCCAATCTGTAGATTCTCTTTTGACTCTTTTGGAGGAGTCTTTAGAAGCACATAAAAATTTAATTTTTAAAAGATTCCATTCATCTAGTTTATCTTCTGCTGTTTATACATTTTGACTTATGCTTGATAGTCTATTCATGCCATCTATTAGGCTGCTAAATTTGCACCTATTTTTTCCTTGAGGAACTTTACAGTTTTAGGTTTCACATTTAAGTCTTTGATCCATTTGGAGTTAGTTTCCACTTATGGTGTGAGGTACAGATCTTCTTTCTTTTTTCTGCAAATGGATATTCACTTTTGCCAGCACCATTTGTTAAACAGACAATCTCTTCCCCATTTAATGGATTTTGGCACTTTGTCAAAGAACAGCTGACCATAGGTCAATGGATCTATTTCTGGGTTCACAATTCTGTTCCATTGGTCTATGTGTCTGTCATACCAATACCAGGCAGTTTTGACTACATTGGCTGTATAGTAGGTTTTGAGATCCAGCAGTGTGAGACCTCCTACTTTCTTCTTTTTCAATAGTGCTTTGCTTATCCAAGGTCTCTTTCCTTTCCATATAAAGTTAGTGATTGGTTTTTCCATATCCTTAAAGAATGTTGATGGGATCTGGATTGGGATTGCATTGAATATATAAATTGCCTTGCATAGAACTGACATTTTCATAATGTTCAATATTCCTATCCACGAGCATGGTATGTTTTTCCATTTATGTAGATCTCTTATAGTTTCTTGGAGTAGTGATTTGTAGTTGTCTTTGAAAAGTCTTTTGTGTGACTAGTGAGGTTTATTACCAAATATTTTATTTTTCAGGTAACTATTGTAAATGGTATTGATTTCCTTTTCAGCAGTCTCTTTGCTAGTGTAGAGGTATCCAACTGATGTTTGTATGTTGATCTTGTATCCCGCCACTATGCTAAATTTCTCAATTAGTTCCAGTAGATTTTTTAAACAGAGTCTCTTGGATTTTCATATTATCAGCTAATAGGGATTGTTTTACTGTTTTACTTCTTCCTCACCTATTTGGATGCCTTTGATTTCCCTTTCTTGTCTTATTACCCTGGCTAGGACTTCCAATACAATGTTGAATAGAAGTGGTAGTAGAGGGGGCATCCTTTTCTGGTTCCTGTTCACAAAGGGAATGGTTTCAGTCTCTCTCCATTGAGAATAATTTTGGCTGTTGGTTTTGCATATATGCCCTTTATTATGTTGAGATATTTCCCTTCTATTTCTGTTTTGCTGAGAGTTTTGATCAGGAATGGGTGTTGGATTTTATCAAATGCATTTTCTGCATCGATTGATATGGTCATATGGTTCTTTTCCTTTGCTTTATTTATGTGATGGATGACGTTGATTTTTTTCTAATGTTGAACCGTGCTTGCATACATAGTATGAACCCCAATTAATCATAATGTATTTTGTTTTTATATGTTGTTGGAGTTTATTGGCTAGTATTTTTTTTTTTTATTGTGATTTGGCTGAAGATTTACAGAGCAAATTCACTTTCCATACAGCAGTACACATACACTTTATCTCATGACATTGACCACAGTTTACCACAGTGCAACAGCTCCCCTCCCACCTCCACCCCACAGTTACCTCTTCCCAGTGTCCATCCCTCCATGGACTCCTGCCCCCTGAGCTGTCTACCTGTGCATAAGCAGCCCTTCTTTTTCCCATGATTGTTCTCTCCGAGGAGTGTATCTACTTGAAGTAAATGTTCAACTCATATGCCTGTCTTTTGTTTGGCTGGAAACCACAGGTGTGGGTTCAATTCCAGAACTGAAGG